AAGGGGTTGGGGTCCCCTCTGGGGGCCTCAGCCCTGCCTGAGCCCTCCCTCCCATCCTTCAGGCTGGCGAGTGCAGTGACACCTTCTCCACTTTCGATGTGCCCATCTTCACTGAGGAGTTCTTGGACCAAAACAAAGGTGAGGGGCTGCCAGATCCGGGCCGTGGAAGGTCCCTGGAAAGGCTGGATGGAGGGACCAGCCTGGAGCCTGGGCATTGGTGGCACTGAGCCTCTTGGAAGAGCTGTGGCTTGGGGAAGGGATTGGGCTGAGGTGGGGTTGGGGTCCATCCCACTGACGCGGCGCTGTCCCGGCAGCCCGGGAGGCCGAGCTGCGGCGCCTGCGGAAGATGAACACGGAGTTCGAGGAGCAGAATGCCATCCTGCAGAAGCACACGGAGAGCATGAACTGCGCCAAGGAGAAGCTGGAGCAGGAGCTGGCTCAGGAGGAGCGGCAGACCCTGGCCCTGCAGCAGCAGCTCCAGTCGGTGCGGCAGGCCCTAACCGCCAGCTTCTCCTCCCTGCCCATCCCCGGTGAGTTGGGGGCAGCCACGGGGCTCCCCGGTGCCAGGGCTCAGTGCCGGTGCAGTGGGGCAACGTGGGACCCACCCTGGCTGCTGGAACCCCTGCCTGGGCAGAGGGGCACCACAGGGCCTCCTCAGCTGTGGGGACCCCTGCTCAGGCCGAGTGGCACTGTGGGTTCCCCATCCCAGGCGAAGGGGCACTGTGGGGCAGTGGGGTGGTGGCAAGTGCCCATCTGATGCTGGGCTGGGATCCTGCAGCACTCAGGGGACTCCCTGGGGAACCCAGGGATGTGACAGCCAGCTGGCTCCCCTGTCCTGGGGCAGGGCAGGCTAGGAGCCATCCTCCTCTGGAGCCACACTCACAGCTGTGCCCCAAATTGGCCCAAATCCACATGCTCCAGGATTTGTGCCGGTGCAGGCTCTGTCCCGCAGCAGGAGATGGCATTGGCTGCTGAGGTCCCCTCCCCAGTCACCAGTGCATGGTCAGGGCTGGGTGGGGACCTGCTCACCAGGCTGTCACCTCCCAGGCACCGGGGAGACCCCCACGCTGAGCACCCTGGACTTCTACATGGCCAAACTGCACAGTGCCATCGAGAGCAACCCCCTGCAGCATGAGCCGCTGGTGCTGCGCGTCAAGGAGATCCTGTCCCGGATCGCCAGGTGAGCACAGGGCTGGGGACACAGGGCAGGGGGTGATGGGAGCTGAGC